CGGCGTCCTCGCCGGGGTCTGACTCCTCGGCCACGCTGGAGTCCAGGGTGCAGACGCTGCCCGAGAGCGCCAGTGGCGGTGGGGCGGGGAACAGCTCCCCCTCGCTGCCCGCGTGCTGCAAGGGGAAGAGGCCCCAAGCTGCTAAGGATGGCAGTCCTGGACTGATTTCCCCCGCCACCCCCCCAATCCCTCCACGCAGGCCCCCCAGACCTGGGCACTGGGTGGGGAGAGGGAAGCGAGGTTATTTGCCTGTTTTAACCTCCCCTCCCCCCCCAAGCTGGGGATAGAACCTAGGAGTCCTGATTCCCAGCCTCCCCCACTCTAACCACTAGCCCCCACTCCCCTCCCAGAGCTGGGGATAGAACCCAGGAGTCCTGGCTCCCAGCCCCCCCAGCTCTAAGCACTAGACCTCACTCCTCTCTCAGAGCCAAGGAGAGAACCCAGGAGTCCTGATTCCCAGCCTCCTCCCGCTGTAACCACTAGATCCCACTCCCCTCTCAGAACCAAGCAGAGAACCCAGGAGTCCTGCCCCCACTCCCTGAGCTGGGAGCACAACGCACACCTTCCAACTTCCTACCCTGGCACCGAGGCCCTATTGGCAGCAATAAAACACCAACCGGGGAAGGGAAACCCCAGAACACGCCGGCCCCTTACCTTCAATTTGGGGGTGGCTGGGAGCCCCCGACAGCGACCTCAGCACAGAAGGGAAAGAGACAAACCCAGAGTTAGACACCCGAGCAGCCGGCCCCGAAACCCACCCACACGGACCTGTCTGCCAAAACAAGGGCTAGCCCCGCCAGTCCCTCCGGGGCTCAGGTCCTGTCCCGGGCTCTTCGGAACACGGGAATTTTCAGATCAGACCAGACTTGGGGCCCATCTACCCCGGTATCCTGCCTGCATCAGAGGAAAGGGCAAGACTCCCCTCTAGTGGGCAGTGATGGGATAGCCAGTGACTGCCTAACCCTCCGGGAAGGCTGAGATCCATAACTCAGGACTGGCTGCATGTTGGCAACGCAGCCAATTGAGGGGCCTGGTTGGGGGGAGCCCAGGGCTGGGATAGCAGGGAGGTGAGGGGGACTGAGGGGCACCAGGAGAGCAATGGGAGAGCCCAGGGCATGGTGGGGGCTGCGGGTCGGGACTGAGGGGCACCAGGAGAGCGGGGTGGGGGATACTTACCGTTCTGCTCCTGCCCCATCTGGCTCAGCTCAGTGGCCGGCTCTGGGGGCAGAGGAAGAAGAAGCGTTAGCTGAAGCCCCCCGGGGGCTGGGAGAGGGTGGGAACACCTCGTTAAGGCCACTCAGGTTCCACCCTGCCAGGAAGAGCTGGGGCGCTCCCCTGTGTGGCCCACCCCAGCAGGCGGAATGACAGCCGGGGAAACTGAGGCACAAAGAGGTGGGGGGAAACTGAGGCACAACCAGGGGACGAGACTTATACAAAGTCACACGGCGAGTCTTTGGCAGAGAACCCAGGAGTCCTGACCCTGTTTCCTGCTCTAGCCACTAGACCCCATTCCCCTCCCAGAGCTAGGGAGAGAACCCAGGAGTCCTGGCTCCCAGCCCTCCTCCTCTAACTCACTAGATCCCGCTCCCCTCTCAGAGCTGGGAGCCAGGACTTCTGGGTTCTCTCCCCAGCTCTGGGAGGGAAGTGGGGTCTAGTGGCTAGAGCGGGGGGCTGGGTTCTCTCCCCAGCTCTGTCACGTACATGCCTCAGTTTCCCTATCGGAGGGCGGGGGCGGGCTCTATCTTCGTGGCCCAATCAATCCTTCCCCTGTCGGCTGAGCCCACTGACAGGGAGGCCCTATTTGCATGAGTTGGGAGGTGCCACCCCCCCCAATCCCCATAGGAGCTGGGCTGAGTCCTGGCAAACTCCTCTCCTGCCGTCCCGTGCTGGCTCAGGGGCACTCACCGGATTGCCTGCGCCCCCGGCGGTACTGAGTGGCGCCGTCTAGCTGGATGACGGGGCAGCTTTTGCGGGCTCTCTCCGGGCTGCACATGAATTTGGGTGGCTCTGAAACGGGACAGGAGAGCCCAGATCGGAAAGGAATCCTGCCCCACCCCTGCCTCTGGCTTCTCTGGGGCGCCAGCCCCCCACTCTGGCGCTGCAGGGGCTGGGTCGGGATTTCCCCCCCGCCCAGCCCCTGAGTGCAGCAGAGTCCTTGCACATGGGGACATTAGTGCCAGGACCCGCTCCCTGGCACACGGTCCCACCCCCACCCCGCTGGCATCAAGATCCCCATGGCGTCTCGGCTCAGCTCAACGGGGCACTGGCCTGGCCCATGGCTGGGAACACCCCCCCCATTGCAGGAGCTGCTGCGCCCCACTTTCCCCCCCGGCCCCTTAGTACCTGACTGCCGCCTGCCGCGGGGGAAGCCCCAGGCGTCCTCCATCCTTGGAGAGGGGGCCGGCGTCTTCAGGGGCTCCGGGCTGCAGCGGATCTCCGGGGAACCTGGTACAGACGAGGGGTTGGAGCATCTAACGCCACCACCCCTGCCCCTCTCTCCAAACGCTGTTCACCCCGGCAGCCCCACGAGCCCTGTGCTCGGCTTATACCCTGCCCAGCCCCTCCTCCTTCCATCCCCTCCCTTCCCCTCACTCAGCAACGGCCACAAGGCTACTGGCCTACAGCAGAGGTGGGGGGCTGGGAGCCAGGACTCCTGGGTTCTCACTCCAGCTCTGGGAAGGGAGTGGGGCTAGTGGTTAGAGCAGGGGGGGTTGGGAGCCAGGACTCCTGGGTTCTCTCCCCAGCTCTGGGAGAGGGGGGCTGGGTGCAGAGAGCCGCTCACTTACTTTGGAAGCTGTTCTCCAGCAGCACTTGCTTGGCCTGTAACAAGGAAAAGGGGGTTACACACCTGGCTGCAGTGCACAGCGCCCCCTATGGGGATAAGAGGGGGCGCGGCCTCCAGGGGCTACTGCACACCAGGCTGCAGCATGCAACGCCCCCTGCAGGGGTAAGAGGGGAGCGCAGCCTCCAAGGCCCAGTCCCTTGTTGGCCCCTGGCCGAGGCCGGCTGCGCGAGGCAGCCGGGGGCAATGGCTCCATTAGGAACAGGAGTGAGGTCTGAGAACAGACTCCGAGCGGCCAGCGGAGACCCCTTAGCTGCATCCTTCCCCTGCTCACCTTCTGAGGGATAGACGCCGGGTGGTTCTCAACGATCAGGCGCTTCAGGTAATGGATCCACAGCCGCTTCTCTTCCTGGTTCCTGGCCTGCAGAGGGGACGGGGGAAGTAACATCCATGGCTGATTTGCAGCCACCTCTGGGGCGGGGGCTGGTTATACAGGGACCCCTCGCCTGGTGCTGTGATGCAGCCGCCTCTGGGGTGGGGCGCGGGGGCTGTTTATACAGGGACCCCTCGCCCGGCGCAAAGGATCCAATCGAAGGCGCAGAGGGGAAACGTGGGGGCTGGTTATACAGGGACCCCTCACCCGGTGCTGAGATGCAGCTACCTCTGGGGTGGGGCGCGGGGGCTGTTTATACAGGGATCCCTCACCCGGCGTGAAGGATCCAAGCGAAGGCGCAGAGGGGAAACCGATCCGGGTTTTGGGCCGGGGCAAGTGCCAGGGGATCTCCAGTAGCCACAACTTGGCAGGATCTCGGCTGCGTCTCTCCGGCACAAGGACAACACGCCTTACCACAACCCTGGGACAGTGAGGAGAGCGCACCCTTTTGAGCCCCCCCACACCCCTTGCAGCCCTGCAGGGGATGGGGGGGGGTTCCCTATGAGGGAAGAGACCCTTCCCCCCACAACACAGCGCCCCCTAGCGCCGCATCGGGGAATTGCCCTTGGAACTCATTGCAAGGGCAGAGTCGTCGTCGCCCCCCCCTCCCGACCCCACTGCTGAGCCCCTGCCCCCTAGCGCCGCAATATGGGGGGCGGGGGGGCTGCACTCACCTGCACCACGTGCTGCTGCTTGGGGATGGTGAGGTCCGAGATCTTGAAGCTCAGGGGGTCCTTGAGGCTCTCCGACAGGGCCAGGTTACAGCACTGGAGGGGGGAGGAGAGCGCAGCATGGCCCCTCCCCACTCTGGCCACCGGCCCCTCACGGGGGCAGGGGACATAGCGGGGGCCCGGGGGCCACAGGGGGGAGCTGCGGAGGGGGAACTGCCAAGGGGCCGGGCACCCCTCGATGGGGCCCACGCGGGGCTAGTACAGACCCCGCCCTGGCCACAGGGGACGGCTGGGGAAAGCCAGCAGAGGTGAGGGGGGCCCCTGCCCGCCAGTGGATTTGGGGTGCCCCTCCCCCTGCCTAGCCCCCAAAGGATAGGGAGCCCCCGCCCCCTAAGGGAATGGGGTGCCCTTTCCCCTGCTCATCCCCCAGAGAATAGGGACCCCTCAACCACCCCCCAGAGAAGAGAGCGAGCCCTGGCCACCCCCCCCCAGGGGATGGGGGTGCCCCTCCCCCTTCCCATCCCCCACTGGGCGGGGCCCGCCCGGGGCCCGCCCTTACGAAGATGTGGCTCTTGTAGACGAAGGCCGGCCCGCGGCGCTTGGCGACCAGCAGCATCTTGCTGAAGAGGAAGAAGGCGCGTTCCCGCCGCACCCGCTGCACCCGGAACTGCCCCTCCAGCACCAGCTCCCCGAAGGCCTCCAGCTCCGGCCCCATCCAGCCCACCAGCAGCCCCTGCAGCTCCTGGGGGGGACACGGCCGCAGATCAGCCTCCGCGCGGGCCGAGGGGGGGGGCGGGCTTGGCTGGATGGGGACCTGCAGGGGGATCCCGCCAAGGGGGTGACCCGGGGGGAAGGGTCCCTGGCATGGGAGGGCTCAGGGGGGGGGAGCTGGGGGTCCAGCCAGGAAGGGACCAGGAGATGGGGGAGACTAGTTGGGGTCTGCCAAGGGGGTGAGCCGGGGGGGGGGGGGGGGGGGAACCGGGGGGGGGCCGGCCAGGGGGGGCCCTTGGGGGGCGTTGACTGGGGTGGTAGGATGGTGCCCCCCCCCTCACCTGCAGCCGGGCGGCGTGTTCCTGCTTCCGCTTCATGTCGTTGATGTACCAGGCCACGGCCGTCATGGTGATGGTGGCTTCCTCCACTGCCTCGTAGCCCGCGCTGCTCCGCTCGCAGTGCCGGGCCAGCTCCTGGGGGGCGGCAGGAGAACGGCCCCTCAAGCACCCACCGCCCCCCCTCCCCCCCCGCGGGCAGGGGCCACGGCAGCCTGTGGGGCCTGGCACAGACGCCAAGGAGAGGCCAAGCTGGGCTCTCGAGGCAACAAGGGCCATGCCCCTGGGAGAGCTCCCAGCGACTCCAGGGCCTCTTCCAGCAGGGTGCAGGGGGGAGTGGGGCAGAAGTGCTGGCTGTGGGGGGAGCTCCCAGTCTCTCCCAGCAGGGGGCGCTGTGGGGAGCGGGGCGGGAACGCTGGCTATGGGGGGAGCTCCCAGTCTCTGCCAGCAGGGGG